TTCCAAGTGTTTATGTAGGGAATTAATATTAATCCTGGCTTCTGAGTGAAGGTCTTGCCTGCTTTATGCGAGAGCAGGCTCTATACGAGATTCCAATTGCTACACAGCATGATCTCAGGGCTCTTCCTCTGAAACAATGCTTGGTTGCGATATCATCCAGCAAGTGCAAAAATGCACTACCACGGTCAAGGACCATTTGGCATGTTCATCGACTATGTTAACCCATTGAGTGGCAGCATGCACTTTCCCTCTGACGAGTAAAATTGTCTGGTGTTAGACAGAGTAAACTAACAAAGTAGGGCACATCTGGGTGCATTGACTTAAAGGGTTAAAACGTAAATACCACAGCACAACACTTGTACATATACAACAGCAATCCTTTTATATATTTAATAGTCATATTTACATATTGGTGAAATATCAATGTCCATATATTAAGTTTGAAGCTGAAGTATTCATATCTTTTGTATCAGTTGTCCCTCTACTAACCAACTTTTAGTCATTGTACAAGAGTTGAATTTGCATTCATTTGCTTCGCAAGTCGCAACAAACTCAACAAAGTACTAAACCATAAACCTGTGCAATGATCGAGCGTCTTCAGCGACATATCCAAGTCTTTTAAACGTCGCATACGAACAAATCTCACTGAGTTTTTTCCACAGAAAGTATTGATCCATTTGATCGATCGCCGTACTTTGAGAAAAGCTTGAAATGCAAAATTCACAGGGAAGATTGAAGAATTTCGTACTAAAAAGCTAAAAACTGTTGGTCGTCGAGTTTCACCTCTATAATTCACCCCCCGGATCAGAAAAGTAACAATTATGTAATGTTCGTGTCACGTGACCAGTGTTTACCAGGGCTACGCCGCCGCCTTCAATTCGCGGCTAGCCCTGGGTACGAGGTTGATTCCCACAGTCCTTGCATCTGCACATGTCTGTACATAACAATTTGTTCGTTAAACATGAACAGCCACCCTTAATGCACTTGGTAGTCTTACAGCCACATTTAACAACCTTCAGTAGACATTCTGGAGCCGCAGGTTTGGTCTTCCACACAATATCAATAACACCGTCTTTGACAGACTAGCCATAGCCGTCAGGAGACGGAGCATCTATGGTTGAATAGTTCAACTGGTACCATATCAGTCTTAATTAGGTCTTTACTTCTAGGGGGCCATTTGCTCTGCTCTGGCTGGACATTGTTTATTTTGTTCTTCAAATAAACACCTTTAAAATGGAAAAATGTCCCTCTGTTATAAAGTTGTAATGAGTATTGTATAGGATTATACGTTTGAGGGAAGGACAAATAAATTTGAATAATTTCGTAATTTATACATTAATTTTGTACCCATTTATACATTTCGTTTGTCGAGTCAAATACAAACAACAAATTCATGCAACAAATTTGATGGGCTAACCAAATAAGCTTGTAACAAACTAAACCAAATAACAAACTGTCCAAATATTGCTGTATATTTGTACCCCTTAGAATAATACACCACTAAAAAATCTAAAAATTCTAACCTGACATAAACAATTCTTTAAATGTATTTTCAGAACTGCCTTCCTGACTTGTTTGATGCCTGTCAATTCTACTACTTCTAATCTCATTTTCTAAAACTTCTGAAGAGTCATTTTCATCACTTTCATCTTCAACACTAGAAACTTGACTTCTAGGCAAGTACTGCTGTGCTATGTCACCAGCTGTTACATTTTGACAATATACAATTGTGGATTCATTCCTAAAAGAATACGGTATTATCAGTACAGGCATGTTAATTGTCACAAACATATATAATTTTAGTTCTATTTGAGTGTATAGCATTGATCATAATGTTTTCACACTTATAAACGAAAAACACTGAGTGATTTACAAACCTTCTTGATGGAATGTGATCATGAAACACAAGTTGCTCAAAATCCCTTTGTAATCTCACTCTCAACATATCAGATCGTAAAGAGAAAAAATGGGTAATTATCCAACTAAGACAATCAATTGTGCTCAGAAAAGAAGTTTGGTTTCCTAAAACGTAACATGTAACCATAAGGGACGGACCATTAGAAAAGTGATAAGTGATGGGGGGGAGGGGGATTTTCTAAGAGGCAATAAAATTCCTTTTAAAACACGGACATAATCATTGTAGCAGCTCTTGTGGTACTGGACCTCAATACATGAACAGTCTTTTCCTCTGATGTCCTTCAAGATAGTTTCGTCATCTATCCTTTCAGCAGCACTACGAAGCTGGCCTAAAAAGTGGGAAAATGTGTGCCTTTGAAAATGTGTGCCTAAAAAGTGGGAAAATGTGTGCCTAAAAAGTGGGAAAATGTGTTCATTTGTGTGCCTTTGATACACTACACTTGATAAGTTGACCATAAATCATTATATTTTAAGCAGAGAATAACCAACGTGATAAGAATACACACATACTGAACATCCCCTCTACTTTGGGCTTTTTATCTCAATCTTACCTGCATCTGATGTTTCTGCTTTAGACAATGATTCATGCACCCACTTTCCCTTAATCTTAGTCCTTTTAGTTAGCTTTTTGCAAATAATACACAACTTGGGTAGAATTGTATGTGGTTGTTGGGACATCTTTGGGACCTTGCTTCGGAGAAATGGCATTTTGGGTTTTGATGGTGGTACAGCTGGTTCTTCTTCCATTTTCCTTTTTCTCTCTAAAGTTCTCCTTGCCTGCATATAGAAATAAATAATCTACTATCTAACACAATGGCACATATATATAACTACAAAATACTACTACTACAAAAAAGGCTATTACGGTATTGCATAACATTTTAGCATAGCTTTTTAATACTTTATAAGAAATACATTTAAACAAATTTAATATAACTAATGCAAATAATACTCCCATTCCAAAAAAAAGTATAATATTACAAATTACAATATGCTGTAAAATTAAATTGACAAACTTACCTTGTTTATAATAGAAATATTAGTTAATTTTTGATAGCACTCCTCGTGGAATCCAAAATCTGGATAACGTTGTTTGGCAACTTCCAACCGAACAGGCCACTATTTATATCAACGAAATCGGTCAATCCTTTTCTTTCAAAAATGAGAGCAATGTCAAGTTGTTTTCCGTATAAACCTTTCCAATCTTCGATTCGTTTTACTAACGTCTCTTACCTGTTAGCGGTTTAATATCGCACTTTGCACATCAACAATATGTAAATAACACTTGTTATTCAAATAAGGCAAAATTTGGGCAGAAGTTGAAGCCGCCATGTTGTTTCTAACCCTATCAACATTACACCCCTATTATCCCGTCAAAATCTTGATATGTTCCCTGTTAAACCCCCATTATCCCCGAAGCTGTAAAAAGGGTCAAAAAGATAAAATTTTCACATTTTGCAAAGGCAATTTTGGAACAAATATTTGATTTTATATTTATCATACTGTGATCTAACTAAATAACTAAAGTTTAGGTAGTTTCGTTATTCAGGAACGAAACTGAAAGATAGCAATTTCGCCCAACAGTTTAAGACTTTGGTTATTACTGTACACAGTATCACATACTCAATGATGTTAAGCTGGAAACAACTATGATAGATATTAAATAATTAAAGAATTATGATATTAAATTTAATAAATTTGCCAGGTTTGGTTGCAAAATGTTGTAAAATGAGTAGATTAAAACTGTACGATGTTCGCAAGTTTTGAATAAATTTGTATTACACAAGGGAAATTAATAACCATTTTTGAGCCGAAAATGGTTATACGTTATTTCCTGTGCGTAATAATAATTTTAAGATGCTCTTTCCATTTATTGAAAAGACGTTTTGTTATTTGATTCTTTGATTTGATTAAAGCTTAAAATGTAAAGGGAAATAAATTGATTTGAAGACTGAACTGAAATTACCTAACAAGTTGTTATATTTGTAACTTATTATGTTTTATTATTAGTTTATCGGCAAATGAACTATAGTATAGTTGAATGAACATTTGAAAACATTTTACGAAGCGTTTCAAGTTAAATTTTACATTAAATCAAAGCTTACAAAACGCAAAATAAATACCTACAGTATATATTTCGGAAATTTATTGTTGTATAGTTAAAAGTACGAATCTTTCAACTATTTTGCAGTTTTGTACATTTAAGAATATCGTGTTGTCATGGCAACACTTGAGCTCTGCGTTCAGTGGGCCATTTTTTAATACTTCATGTTAATTTAATGTTTGGAAAATATTGGCGAGGGGTTACTGCATGGCACATGCATGTATTTCTAGTATGTAAATCTTTTTCGAAGTGAGATATACAAGTGCAACTTGACCTTCTTTAAATTTGTACTTGCCCTATTTTTGACTCCATAAAAACTACTTCTATCCATAAACTATTTGACTTTAAAAGTAAGCTTGAATTTTTGTGGTGATATAGGCTAGTTTCTTTGCAAACAGTGATTCAGTACTCGGTAGTGTACTTGTTGTTATTTGAAATCGGTATTTTTAATGTCTCATATATACATCAACCTTTCTCTACTAGGTCTAACCAAAAAGTGTATCACAAAAGTTACAACAATATGTAAATCCGTGTCCTTGTTCAGCCAAGTGTGTCTGATCGCGTGACCTAACATATTTACATATCGGAAGTAATAAACGGGAAGTTCATATCGTAACATCTCCCCTTCTTCAAATAACTGTAGTGTCAATCACTGTTATGAAAATATTAAATAGCTAACTTAAAATGTTCTACGTAACTAATAAAGTGTGTGTCAAGTTTGGTTCAATCTTCAGACATAATCTTTATATCTAGCCGGTGCTTTGATTGTCCTCGAACTTCTCGTTTGGTTTCCCCTACAATCTGGTGTGGCCGTTATGGATCTTGAACTTCTTCTCTGCGACCCGTTAGGTTTGGACTCTACTGGTACCGTTGGCTCATGTTGATCACTTTCAGCGTCCAGGCTCACTTCTGTTTCTGGATTATTTGCACTGTTCCTTTCCTCTACATCTAAACATGGCCTGATCTCTTCTCTGTTTCTGCGTAGTTTTTCTCCATTCGTTTGTACCATGTAAGATCTATCCGATAACTTTTCAAGGCACTTCCCCAACTCCCAGGTTTTATCTCTCTTACCCCGAACTCTGACTTCTTGACCAACGTCTAGGTCTGGCAGGAACTTTCCGTTTCTATCGAAATTGCTCTTTGCTTTTTGTCTTTTTCTTTGCAGTCTTTCTTTAATACCTTCGCTTACTTCAGGATACAAGAGGCTGGTTGCCACTGGCAGGGGGGTTCTTGTTCTGCGGGACATCAAACGCTGACATGGGCTGGTCTGGACTCCCTCAGTTGGAGTGTTTCTGTAGTCGAGCAGGGCTAACCATGGGTCTTTGTTATCCTTCTGTGCTTTTTTGAAGAGGTTCTTGGCTATTTTCACCCCCCACTCCGATTTTCCGTTGGATCTGGCATGGTAAGGTGAGGATGTGACGTGTTTAATTTCCCATTCTGTGGTGAAATCTGTGAACTCTCGGCTGGTATACTGGGGACCATTATCTGACACCAGAACATCTGGGATGCCATGTCGACTGAACTGTTCCTTAAGAAACTCTATAATGGCTGACGATGTAGTTCCTTTGAGCTTACCAACTTCGAGGAAATCTGAATAACTATTTACAAGGACCACGTAATCCTTGTTTCCAAGGGTGAATAGATCTGTTGACACTCTACTCCATGGCCGATCAGGAACGTCGTGTGACTGCATAGGCTGATTCTGTTGTTTGACCTGGAATTCTGCGCATACTGAGCATCTATAGTTACCGCTTCTTTGATTTCTACGGTGGCCGATAAGGGTCATTCACACACAAAAAGTGAAATCACCCCACAATAACACGAAATACGCCAACAAATCCGCGATTCACGCCACAATTTCACGATTCACGCCACAATTTCACGGATTCATGCCACAATTTGACGGATTCACGCCACAAAGAAACCGCTGAAACCGGTCTCAATACTCATTATTTCCCGCCTTTTTCGCGACCGCATGAAATAGGCATAAACATGGATGACAACGGCCAGTGCATTCAATGTGGAGAAGCTCTCGAGGATTTCTTTAACTTTTGTCCTGAATGTGGAAGAAGCGTAACTCAAGAGGGAGAAATGACTGAAAGAGAAATTATTGAAATGTATTTCTATTGTGGCTTCACCTACTCATGCATACTGCAATTAATGTCCAAGTATCATAATATAAACATGTCATTATCTACTCTTAAACGTCGGTTGCAATCATTTAATCTAGCAAGAAGTAGGGACGCTATTGTTGTTGACCAGATTAGAGAAGCCATAAGAAAAGAAATGGATGGCCCTGGGTGTTTATTTGGATACAGATCTATGAGGCATTCTCTCAGAATGGGGCATGGGTTAACAGCATCCAGAGACCTTGTACAAAGGCTAATGAAGGAAATTGATCCAGATGGTTGTGAATTGCGCAAAAGAAGAAGGTTAAGACGCAGGAGTTACTGGAGCTTGCGCCCTAACCATACCTGGCATATCGATGGATATGACAAGTTGAAAGATTTTGGATTCCCAATACATGGGTGTGTCGATGGATTCAGCCACAAGGTTTTGTGGTTGAATGTTTCAAGATCAAATAATGATCCATCTGTAGTACTGTGTTTCTACTTAGATTGTGTTGACGAAAATGAAGGGTGTCCTCTCATAGTACAGAGTGACTGTGGCACTGAAAATGGCAACATTGCAGCAGCTCAGTGCTATTTTCGTGTAGATGCTACAGATGAGTATGCAGGCGAGAAAGCTCATAGGTATGGTGAATCGAAGCGAAACCAACGTATTGAAGCATGGTAGTCTTGTTCTAAAAAAAGTAGATAATCATTGGTGGATTAATCATTTAAAGATCTCATGGATAGTGGTCAATTTGAATATGGAAATGTTATTCATAAGGAATGTATGTGGTTCTGTTTTAGTGATATTATACAGGAAGAACTTAACTACACAAGGGCCCTGTGGAACAACCACTACATTCGATCCTCAAGGCACGAGACTGTTCCAGGTCGGCCAGATGAGTTGTATTACTTACCAGAACGCCATGACAGTGAGGATCAGAAACAACCTGTGAATGCCGAGAAGCTTAATGAGGTTAGACAGCATGTGGCTGATCCGGTTAATCAGGATAATCAGGATGTCCAAGAGTATCTCAACTATGTTTGCACATCAGAAGGATTAGAAAAGCCCACTGTTTGGAGAAGTGCTCTGAACTTATACACAATTTTAAAACAAATAGCTGAACAAGTGTAGATTTCAACAATTAATATAGTTTTTTATTGTTTGTATATTTTATCTTAAAAACACAACATTTTCAATGGCAGATTGCATTTATTTTCCGTACAGGGGGAGTTGAGGACAATGGAAAATCAATGGGAGGGGTGTAAAAAAGGCCAGGGCATGGTCTGCAATTAAAGTAATTTTTCAGGGGTATCTGCATAGATATCTTATATACACTAGATAGCGTATCTCTTTTAGTAAAATTGAAGCCAAGAATATTCCAGCGGTTACCCCCATTTGAATAGATGGCGGCCATGTTGGTGGTTCCCACTCGCTAATAAACGCTTAAAAAACACCAATAATTTTCATCACTTGAATAATTTGAAAATGTATTTGGAATAGGTTTAACTTAATGTTTAAGTTCCCTGTTTAAGAAATAGAAAACATACGTCCGAATCTTCTAATTTCATGGGAATATCCTGAAACTGCAATCATGTCTTCAATTTTTGAATTGCAAAATAATTAGATGCACTATCTAGTGTATATAAGATATTTATGGGTATCTGGCAATGGATTTCTAGGAAATTCCAGGGAAGGGGGTATATACTGAATTCCAGGGGGTCACATTTAGCTGGGAAAAAGATGCAATCTGCCAATCTAATATTGAATAACTATCAATTTTGAACTAATCTTTTAACAAATGTCACTGTTCATATTAACTATAAAACAGTCAATTTTAACTTCAACAATAAAGATTAATGTAAATAACAATAAGATACTTGGCCAAGTTGCTTAGCTCTATCAACACAGCAGTATTTGTAATATATATGAACACTAAAACCATTTTCATTGTTTAAAATGGACATTTTAGACATATTTTAGTATTTCAAAAGTAGTGAATGGATTATAAAATATTGATTTTGGATTTGCTGAACAATTTTAAACAACTTCGCCTTTTACTCTTTTTTAAATGCCCCCTACATGTTGCAATAAGTTTATTCTAATCCAAATCTTAAGTTTGTCCAAATCCTTTGGAATTTAAGATGGCAAATGTCATATCATCTTTAAAAGAGGCATATGTGATGTGTTGAATTGGTAAACTTAGCTCACAGGCACAAGTGTTGGCTTTGGGAAACTTACATCCCCTTTCCCCATGCAAGAACTTTACTGTTATTTCCAGACCAAGGGGAGGGAATTCTAAACATCCACTGATAAACATTAGTACATCTTTGAGCTCTACAAAGAACAATGGCGGACGGTCATACAATTGTGAGCTCTGATGAGATGTATGATTCGGGCAAGAAATTAATCATTGATCAAGAGAAATATACTGATAATGTTGTGAAATATTTAACAGTAAGTGATAAAGGCAAATTCAAATGGAATGGTCCCTTCCAAAGCCTAAGAATGTTGATGACCGAATTGACAAAGAACGAATCAAAATGGTCGGCATCTGGTGGTTATTGTAAATTGCTCGAACTAAACGACTTTATAGCTATAAGATGGTATGCAGACAGTAAGTCGCTTACAGTAAATGGGAAGTTGAGCGACGATATTAAATTCGAGCTTCGAAATATTGCCGGCCTAGCACGTCCTGCAGTTGAAGTAACAAGTAATAACTATAAAGAAGCCGAACATGCGGCAATAAATACGGACGGGACGCATGGATGCATCTGATAGTAGCTGTAGCTGTGCTTATATTCAGTGGCGTAGCTAGCGGTCCCGCTGTCCCGCCTGGCGGGACTTGAAATTTAAAAAAAAAATGAGGAAATGTTTTATAGTGAAGCCAACTTAACAGCTTTTCTTATTCTGAAAATTTATATACTTATAATCATTTTTCAGTGTTTTCATTTATTTATTTAAAGTTTATGCAATGTTGCTGTCTGCTCTTTGACCTCTGAAACCCAAAATTAGCTAATTTCCACGCAATTGATTGCTTACTCGCGCAATTCGTGAATCGCATGTCTCGTGTTCCGCTGATTTTCATATGGCGGGATATGCAATACTATTTCATACAAGAAATTCTGGTTTCTGATTGGATAATTGGCGCAGCGCATGCTCAGAACGGCGGTTTTTAATGCCGAAGTCCCGCTATTTTATAAAGGCGGAGGTTGTCAACTCAATTCCATATATTAAAGAACTCCGCGAATATTTGCAGTAGAAATACGAAAATACCACCAAAAAATTCTGCTTGAAAGACACTATGTAATTGAACAATGTAAAATAGCCATAAATTATAAACTAGCCACACTCGAACAATGTAAACTAACCATACCTATATACAATATACTTGAACCGATGTAAACAATGTATCACTATTAAGCCATATATACCTTTCGCCGAAATTATATAACTTCGGCTACTTTCAACGTTTCATTTTGGTATTAGTCTTGTTTGAATCACAATCTAACAGACTATTTAGAGTGTTATGTTCAAGCTTGTATCTGCAGATTTGGATCTTTTATTTCAGTATTTCAAAATATCTAAATTTTACGCGAGAGCTTTGACCGGAGGTTCAAGTTCAAATATCCAAAACAATGCTAGCACTCGGGAAACGTCGGAAATTGATTCTAAAGGTCAAATTACCCGTGTAGCATGATTTGCACGTGCATCAGGCTATGGGGTTCCTTAGCAAGGCAAAATATTCCTGTTTAAATGGAGATGTATTGAAATTTCGGCGGGACGATTATTTTGAGCCAGCTACGCCACTGCTTATATTAATGCTGATATGGAGGGTATTAAATTAGACCTTACAATTCTGGAATCGCGGCTGCTTACTGCATTGTCGGAAAATGAATATGAGTCGGACATTAACTTGCTTAGGGTAAAATTAAAAGAATTGGAAGGTGTTGTGCGGAATCAAGATGAAGTTAATCGCCGACTTATCAAGGAGAATGTATTTTTTAAATCAAAGTTATTATTCCTCGAGAAGCTAGTGCTTAATATGTCCCAAGACTATCAGAACAAAGGTAGTGGATCAGGTAACCCAATTAGCATTATAGAGGAATCGCCAATGCGTGACAGTGACCAACTTAGTAGCTTCAATAAAAATAGTTTGAGCTCATCTCGCAATACTAACAACAGTCTATCTCGTGATAACGAACTAAGTGCTAATCTAACTGTAAATAATATTGATCTTCAACAATCTATAGTCTCGAATACTATTGATATTGACCTTAGGAATTCGAGCTTTAACGTTGTTGGAACACGCACACCTCAGGAACAAAATCAAATCCCATTACATGTTAGACAACAAGCCACTGAGGTGAATACTAGTAATATCGACCTTAGTAACCTGAGTCAACAACTCAATGACCCGAATACTAATGACATTGACTTAGGGAATATTAATGAATCGCCTTCAAAGCAAATACTAGTACCGAGTAAACAGAAAAAAGATACTGGTACATTAGTGAATAGAACCCCAAAGCCCCTAAAATCATAACCCGAAAAAGAAGATAATAATACTGGAAAAAAGGCACTATACCCTGCCCATTTCTTAAGCGTTGAGGGTGGTGTGCAAAGGGAAGGCGTTGCGATTTTAAACATCCACGTGGTGAACAAAAACATTTGGTGCCCTGTCCCTTTTTGCAAAATCGAGGCTATTGCTTAAAGGGTAGCGGGTGTGATTTTTCCCACGGTACCAATCATAACAGAACGGCATCATGGCCTGTTAATAACCATCCCAACCCACCTTTTTTCTCTTACCATCCTTACCATCATCCTCCTATGGTCCCACATTTAAGAACACACAGAATGAGTGTCAACCGAAGTCCTCAAAGTTACTCCCAGTTTGCTCGGTTTTTTCAACATTGCCTGAAAACCTTAATGGAAATCCCTGTCCAACCTCCGTTTCCCTTCGCCTTCCGCGAAAGTTATTAACTTTCTTTCTAGCGAACTCTCGATCACTTTTACCTAAGATTGATGAACTGAAAACTATTTTGCATATGAATGAGATTGGGTTGGCCTTTATAACTGAGACATGGCTAAATGAAAATATTGATGACGGTGCCATTGAAATTAGTGGCTTTTCCTTAGTTCGGCGTGATAGAATTTCTAGAATCGGGGGTGGCGTTTGTGCTTATATTAAAGACCAGATTCCTTTTAAAATCTTAACAGATTTGCATGAAGACAATTTTGAATCACTTTGGCTTTACCTGAGACCAAATAAACTTTTCCGTGGCTTTTCCTGCCTGATTGTCTGTGTGGTCTATCACCCTCCTTCCAATGATAACTGTGCCTTAATCGATCACCTAACATCTAAACTTGACGCTGCTCTTGTATTGTACCCCAACGCTGGTATTTTTCTCATTG